ATAAGCTTTGGTATAATCTCACTAAGCCTTGTGGCTTAATCTTTTAAAATGAACTTTCTTTTCAAGAAAGTCGATAGCTGCCCAGGTGAAGGATTAGACGGTTTAGATCTGCCGTACAAGTATCGTTTGAGTCGGATCTAGGTATATAATACTTTTGAGTAGATATATTTGTATTTTATGGATCCGACTTATAGTACTGAAAATCGTCTTTTGCAGACTATGTTATTTTGTCTTTTGGTGGAAATTTATAACATATATCCCGTATTTGCTTGGAGACTGTTTTATGGAAAAATTTATTTGGATAAATAGTTTCTTTTATTCAAAGAGCGTAACTGATGTTTCAAATTCCGCACAGATTGATCACTATTTTAACAAGAAAACACAAAATTTTCCAAAATTTTTGGATCAAACTTAAAAAAAAAATGAAGAACACAAAGAATATTAAGAAGAACACATAAAATTTCTAAAAGAAATCTTCAGATCTTGATTTCTTCTACTGGTTTCGAGCAAATTCTGCTCTGATACCAATTGATAGTCCACTTCAATCAATCTTTAATCTTCTAGCAAGAATCCATGGCAGAATCTAGATATGAACATTCAAGAACATATGAGAGAGATGAGAGGAAAAGTCAACGCTTCAAAATCTGGTCAAACCTCTATTACGTATACTGAATATTACAATAAGGCTCCTTGCAAAAATTACAAAGACAAACCCTTTATATAGGGTCAAACTAGAAAGCCTAGTCAAAGTCAAACTTTACACAAGAAAAGTCAAACACGATGACTTTATACAATTATAGACAAAAATAACTTTCAAGACGAATACAATTTAACACTGATTTTCAGTCCTAATAGTTAATCATGGAGTTCTCAACTGAGGACAATTTGGACTAATATGATCAGGGGAATTACAGTGGAAACATCTTCAAGCAGCTGGACAATTTTTGGATAAATGACTTGACTCGCCCCACTGATAACACTTTCTCTGATCCGTATTACAGTCACCCTGATGAACTCGGCGACATCTGGGACATGCTCTTTCAACAAAACGTTGAACATGACGGTTCTCTATTTTTGCAGTCTTTGGCCCTCGAAAACCGGTCGAAGACCCTTCCCACTTTCTCTTTTCAACCACTTCCTCTTCTCCCTACCTATTCTTGTTTCTCTTAGTCATTTTGGCAACATCTACTGCTAATGGAAAAGTAGCAGGACTCATAGCAATTACAAATTCCCGAATTGAGGGTTTTAAACCCCAAATATATCTCTCAACCTTTCTAGCTTCAGAAGAGATATAGTGTTCTGTAAACCGGGAATGTTCCATAAATCTTTCAGTTTATTCTCGTATGGTCCGGTTCCCCTGTTCTAGTTTCAAAAAGTCTTCCTCCATTTGTCTAACAGTCGTCTTTGGACATAATTGTTCTTTAAATCTATCTACAAATCTTGACCAAGGCATAGTTCGCAAAATATCCGGTTCGGCTAACAATTCTGCATCCACCAATATAAAGCATTAGATTTTAACATTGATAAAGCAAATCTAACCTTATCTTCTTCTGGACATTTGTTGGTGTTGAATACATATTCAATATTCTTCAACCAACTCAATGCTTTGACCAGATCACTTTCCCCAGAAAACGTTAGGGGTTTGCAAGTCAAAAACATCTTTATATCATCCCCTTTACTATTCGTAGCTTGAGTTTGGGATTTACCTCAATTCTTTCAGTTTCAACTCTGGCTGGTACCCCAAGAATTAATGTCACAATCTCTCTTAGTTTACTCATTTCCTCCGCTAATACGTCTCGAGTCACATTTTTTGGCTGTGGCACAAGTTCTTGATTGATATTTCCAGAAATAGACTCACCATGGTCTGGATGAATTCCAAACTGACTGATTCTTCCTCTTCCACGACTCCTTCCATGACCTCTACCCCGACCTCTTCCCCTGCTTCGGCTTTTAGATACACTAGTTGGAGTATTATCAGGAGAATTTTCTCAATCATTTGGGTTGGTGAGGGTGATTCTTTCAGACCTTCTGGAACGACAAGCCATCTGCAAATTTTCAATATTAATAGTCATATAATCAAATTCCCAAATATAATAAGGTGTCTAAGTACAGATACGTACCTGTAAATTCATAATTACATTGACCAGTTGTAATTTGAATTTACCTTACATACTTTCTTCTTAACCCATCATATTTATCTCTAATGGTTCTATCTATGTTCGGGACCCTTAATATGCAAATAACACAGTTTAAGTCTAGGAATCATGTTTGAATACCTAAATCCCTTAAACTCAGACTCTGATACCAACTCTGTAACACCCCACTTTCCACATTTGCATATAATCATGTATTTCATATATTAAGAAATACAATAACACAACTTCAATCCCAACAGTACAAAACTATATTACATAATTTACAACTCAAAAATTCCAAAAATAATATTCTTGTACTCCACTTGTATAAATAACAAGTATTTTCAAAAATTCATCAGATAATATGTTGATCTTCATAGAACATGTAAGCACAATAGGAAAACAATTCACATTTTCCCCTTCCCCTTATCCTTGGACATAGCCTAACCTGCAATGCATATTTTTGAAATACAAAATAAGGGTTAGACCTTGAGGTCTAGTGAGAAATTCTCTTTCTTCGCAATTACAAAGTGAAAATCACCAAAACCTGTTATAAAATCATATTTGAATATACAACAACATTCGTAAAATATAATTCTAGTAACCCAAACCAACTACAAGTGATAAATGCGTTCTCATGGATGTGACATAAAGAAATAAAGAAATGTTAACTCTGAATTATAGCATCTTATAGATGTGACAACAAGAGCTATAAATGTTATAAAGAAATATTTCAATAAGAGCAATAATCCCAAGTCTTCATGTCATAAGAAATGTTAACTCTGAATTATCGCGTCTTATGGATGTGACAACAAGAGCTATAAATGTAACACATATCTCACTATTGCCATACTTATCCAAAGTACAACTCTCCTTTATATGTCACCCTTATCCCACGGTACACCTTTCCTTGATATGTCACCCTTAATTCCTCATAAATGTAGATAAATCTGCTATTTTAGCTGATAATGGCCTCAACAACTGTTTCATTTCAGAAACATTATCTCAAGAACTTTCATAATTCTAAACCCAATTCCAATGTCATCTTAAAACAACTTTCAAAACAGTTTACTCTTCTCAACAGGTTTGAAAGAAACAGTACCTTTCTTAATTTAAAACAACATTTGAAAGATACATAATAGGCAATAATAGCCCTTATTGAACAACACTTGATCGATTATTGCCCTTCATCGGACAGCACATGGGCGATAAACTGCCCTCATCCTTTGCCACTCAATCTGGACAACACTTGGGTGATGAAACACCCTCACTGGTCAATACTATGATCGATGAATATCCTCACCGGTCAACACTATGACCGATAACATCCTCATCGGTCAATACCTGAATAATAAACATTCAATCCGGACAATGCTTTGTCCGGTAAACATCATCACCGAACAAAGTGTTGGGCAATGAACACCCAATCCGGTCAACACTTAAAACAATAAATACTTAATCCGGTTATATCTTGGGCGATAAGGTACCCAATCCGGAAAACACCTTGTCCGATAGAGGTCCTCACCGGACAAAGCTTTGTCCGATAAAGGTCCTCACTGGACAACACATAAAAACATCAATGTCATCACTGGTGAAAGCTTGTGCGATAAGGGTCCCTCATCAGACACCACTATGTCCGATAAGAGTCCTCATCGGACCATGCATTTGAACTAAAATATATATACGTACAAATATTCTGATTCTAACTAACATTATGCATAACAGAGTACCATCAAAAGATCATATTCAGATTCAAAACCTTTTGTAAAAACTCACCTTAGATGCAAGAGTTGAAGACGAATATAGCAACACATAAATCAGCTTCCAAAATCACACAGAATCACTTCGTAATCTTAGCACAAAAGAGAGAGAAACACACATACTCTTTTTCCTTTCCAACAATGGCTACTGATGGCTTTCAAAAATTTCCCCTTTTTACATACTAGCCTAAGATAGGCGGTGAAGACTTTTAGTAAAATAAACCCCCTTCACACTCACATTCACACAACCATATACATGCATGCACGTGCGTGCACGCACGCGCACACACACACATATATATATATATCATGTATGTTTAATATAAACAAGTAATACTTAACCAAATAATTACTTCCAATTCTATAATCAGAACCCGGTTATCACAGTTTATCTGCTGTTAGTTACACGGATTCAAACATGGAGTTTTAATAAGTTGTACTTACGCACAATTTATTTGTAATGTTGAATTTTAAGTAATGTGCATCAATAAACAATACTTCATGCATAAAAAATGGTTTTTAAAATTTTTTGTCGAATACTTTATAATATAGTATAGATAATTAAAACAAATTATTAATAACATAATATATTAACTAATACAAATCAAATAATATAATATATTAATTAATAAACCTTCAATCTAATTACTATACTATAATCACATGGTAACAAACACTTTTTATAAAACTCTAACGAATTTTTATTCTCATTGAAAATTTTCAAACTTGGTAATTATCGAAATATTGTCGTGAAGCACCCCTCCAACTCCATGGAATTTTCCTGCAGGCCATAAACTTAAAATAAAATTTCCAAAATGGTCCCACGCGCAAAAACAAAACCATCATTTCGTCATCTCCTCCATCTCAATTTTCTTTCAAATTCAAAGAGGATTCTCTCTCAAATTCAATCATAAACCAACCATGTCTGTAAGTTAACCCTCATCGTTTTATTTCATTATGCTCGTTTATAAGCTTTTCCTACGTTCAAAAACAAGATACATATCACGAAAAAGCCTACGATTAGGAATAGATGGTCACAAACGAAATGACACACGAGCATCTATCCACGTCTCATGTGACCATCAGATAAATTTCTAGATGATCGATAATACATGTTTTACTGGTTAGAATGGTAAGTTTTGATTTTAAATGTTTGATTATTTGATGCAGCAGCAACAACGATCACATATCCCCAAGTTTGGGAGTTGGGATGCTGACAATGTCCCCTACACCGCCTACTTCGATAACGCGCGAAAAGATAAAGGTACGACGGGCGTGATGTTCAACCCGAACGACCCAGAGGAGAATCCTGAAGCTTTTATGACGTATGGAGGAGGATACGATGATGGCAACAATGATCATAAGATTGTTTTCGCTGACAAAAATATGAAGACAAGCATGACTTCATCAGATAAGGGTTCAATATCAGACATATCGAACAATCAGCAAAGTTACAAGTCCGATCCAAAAAAGAGCTCAAACTCAGAAAGGTTGGCCAATTTTTCTCCGCCTTCACCTTCGCCTGGACCTCATAGACCAAAATACGGATATAATCCCGCCGATGATATTGTCGTAAGTGAACTTATCTCTTTTTAATCTATACGTCAAGATTCTTTTTTTTTTTGTTAATAATTATGGGTGTCCGGGCCAGTTTGTGCCTAACTAGACAATCCCATGGGCCATTGAGTGGACTCAAACCGGTGGCTTTCGGAAAATAAATCAAAGGTCTTACCAATTGAGATGTTATAATCCTGGGTGTTTGAGCAGTTAGAGTACACCTTGACTAATCTTATGAAAACCTTGACTAATTTTATAATATTTTTAATTTTAATTACATATAACCCATGATGATGTGTGGTTGACATGCATACATACATACAGTCACATAGATCAGCATCAGTGCCAATGTTTGGGGCATGGGATGAAAAGGACCCCAGATCTGCAGAAGGTTTTACAGTCATTTTCCAGAAAGTGAAAGAGGAAAAACACATTGCTGCTACCAAGTTCCCACCAATCCCTCAACACCCAACATCTAATCATCCCAACACTCCCAAACATGATAACACAAGGAGGAAGGTTTGTTTACTTTTAAATTGCTGTTTTTATTTCTCATACTTCATGTTAACTTGTCTTTTTTTTTAAAACCCTATGAGGCTTTTGGTTTTACTAGGGGTGTAAACGAGTTTAGTTCAGTTGAGTAACATTTGGGATTTCAATTCTAAACTTTCTTTAAACTAAATGTAGGATTGAAATGAAATATAATTTGAAACGTTTCTTTTATTTATGCGGGATTTAAGCAATGTTTGGCAAACTAGTTGATGAACAAATTATGTTTGATAAAAACTAGTTGATATTACCGTAAAAATGACCAAAAAAGATATCTTGAAAAATTATTCAATTATAATATTCCAAATATAATTTAAACAAATCTCTAATAATATGATATATTAACTAATATAAAAAAGATGGTAAAAAAAGATATAAAAAAATAATATAATATATTTACTCCTGAAATATAAGAAAGTAAACAAAAGACGATGAGTCATTTATTAAAAATAATATGAATTAAAAAGGAGGAGGAT